CTCACACACACACACACACACACACACACACACACACACACACACACACACACACACATGAGTTTTAGTCAGGCATAAACACATAGAGTTTTGTGCTAACTATAAGGTTTAGAGGCCCACCAGCTGGTAACAAGACAACAAAGATACTTCTCTTTTACAGTCACCATGGTGGCTTAGTAAAATAAGTCGTGATTAAAGGGAGTACAAAGAAACTTGCAGAAATTTCCCTTGTGACTTGGTGATCATGTATTAGTCTGTTAGGACTGCCATAATTACAACACAGAGTGCCTTAAGTGACAGAAATGTGCTGCTCACGGTTCTAGCTGGAAGTCCAAGTCCAAGGTGTCTGCAGGGATGGCTTCCTCTGGGCCTCTTCACAGTGCTTTCCCTCTGTGCACTTGCTCCCTGGCATCTGTGTCCTAATCTTTTATTATTATAAAGACACCAGTCATGGGTTAGGACCCAGCCCAACTACCTCAGTTTGACATAATTGTTCTTAAAAAGCCAAAGAGCTGGGAATTTTAAGATGTGCCACCAACACTGGGAAAGCAAAGACAGAAGGGCCCTTGGGCTTGGCTGTCTAGTCAGTCTAGTCTACTTGGTGAATTCCAGGCCAGTTAAAAAAAAAGAGTGACCCATATCCTGAGGACCACACCTGAGGATGTCTGTCCTTTATTCTCCATAGGCACAGATGCAAGCACCTGTACACACACAAACACGCACAGGCACACACTGCCATGAGATATTTCCAACACCCATCAACACCAAAGAAGGATCACAGCTGAACTAGTTCATGGTTAAAGAGAACACAGTATTTAGACTTAACCCAGGTAGTTTTCACCTACCTAAAAGACCGGTCAATGATTGTTATTATATCTCCATGTTTCAGCTGCACAGGCTCATCTATAGTAGCCCCATTTACTTGGGCTGGATTTGTGGAACTGAAATTATACAATATTGCCTACAAGTGGAGAGGAGAGAAAAATACTAAGGGTTTGCTTAAAATCAAATTCAAAAGCTTTAAAAGTTGATTTCCAAAACCCACTTACCTGCTGCTTATTGACTTCAATTTTGCAATGTTTTTTGGACACTACAGGCAGTTGGATACGAATGTCACATTCAATACTCCTTAATAATAACAATGGAAAAAAAAGTAAGGTTTTTATGGGGGTGTGCAACTAAAAAAAAAACCAACCTCAAATTTAAAAAGCAAACAATTTGACTAATATGCTTAGACTATAAGTGTAATGATGCAGTACAGCCTAAGAAGCCATAAAAGATTATTACAACTTCTAGTACTTCAGAATAATTATATTAGACAACACTAGAACACATAATCAATTACCTTTCATATAAATAGCTATATTAGCCAGATGGTGTGCAATGCACACCTTTGATCACAGCACTGGAGAGGCAGAAGCAGAAGGATCTCTGGGGTTCAAGGCCAGCCTGGTCTACAGAGCTAGTTCCAGAACAGCCAGGGCCACACAGAGAAACCCTATTGCAAACAACCAAAAACAAAACAAACAAACAAAAATAGCTATACTTACAAGAAACAAATAATGGAATACTTTATCAGTTTAGGAGAACTTTATAATTAATGTGTTTATAACAATATGGGTGTGTGTATGGACACAAAAATACTAGTATAAAAGGTGCTGTAGGTAATTAGTGCCTTGGTTTCTTCATATACAAAATATCTATACCAGCACCCATGTTACTATTCATTTATAGTTCTGTCACGTGGATATGTGGCACACAGCCTTTTCACTGTTGTTTTAAAACCACACCAAGTTGACAGATTCAAATGTCCTCACAATACAAACAATAATCCACCCGGCAATGAAAACCAGTATCTAGACTAGAACTGTATTTCTAGAAAGCTAGCACCATGGTGGCATAGCTCAGAAACGACAATTCCTAACCCATCCACAAACCAGGAGTTTCACCGATAGCTCCATTTTGACCTTTAAAGGCCTGAAAATACATACTGTTTTCCTATGAGCCTCTAGAGCAGCAGCTCTATCAACCTTCCTAATGCTGTGATACTTTAATAGTTAGTTCCTCATGTTGTGGTGACCCCCAACCATAAAATTATTTTTGTTGCTACTTCACAACTAATTTTGCTTTTATGAATTGTAATGTAAATACATGTGTTTCTGATGGCCTTTTGGGTGGGGGTCGAAACCCACAGGTTGAGAATTGCTGCTCAGGAGTCTAAGCATATCACTTCCTATAAATACCACGCAACAAAACACAAATTGTTTTCAAAAATTTTAAAACTTGCAAAAAGCATATTTAACTAATATTTCAATAATCAAAATGAATGACAGTTTTGAACAACAACAACAAAAAAGGGTACAGAAAGTGACGGCATCCTTACTCTCAAGAAAATGTAGGCTTTGGGTATCAAAACACCAGGCAGAGAGACTATATCTTAGAACCCAGTTCTATCGAGCAGAAAAATCACTACAGTCCATACTTCTTAACCTAAACACCAGATATTCTAGACCAGAGAATTCCTCAATGCCCTGTTCGATGTCAAATACACTATGTCTGTCTCCTCACTCAGTGATACTAGCTACAGACACCTCTCCTAGGGTGACAGGAAAAGATGTCACCAGACTTTGACAAATATCTCCCTGAGAACTACCATTCTCGTCTGACCCCCAAACCCAAATCTCCATCTTCCTGCTGGACACTCATCCTACGTCACACACTGACTGATCTTAACTATCAGGCACCATATGGGACTCTAGGGACGTAATCATTAACAAGGCAGCCCTTGCCTTGGAGCTTAGTCTATTGGGAAACAGACAAATAAAACCCTGAAAACTAGTTAACCAACCTTCATGGTGTTAGGAAAGACGAGCTTTCTGTAAAAGCACCTTCTCAGGTAACATTTGAAAATCGGCAGAATGGGCGGTAAGTGTCAAACTTGACAAAAGTGGCAAGGCAAACAACAGCCTGGAAGGCCTCAGGGAGGAGGGTTATTATCCGACCCACAGGGAAGAGAAGGGGGTAATTCTCCTAGAGCACGCGAAGAGGGGTCTCCTATGTTTTCAGAAGGACGACAGCGCAGAAGCGGGGAGTGGCGGGGGGTGGGAGGGGAGACACCGAAGTCAGCTTGGCGCCTACCAAGTGTTTAAAACCCAGGTTCTATTTGGGAAGCTCCCAGTACATGCGCATGACTTCCGAACACCCTACACGGGCAGCCCCGTCAAGCGCAAAGGGC